GTTCTCCATGGCCATGTTAACGATGGTTATGTCACTCAGTCCAATCACCAGTGTGGCCAGCTCATTGTCATGTTCATAACTATCCTCCAGCCTGGCCAGTTCTGGGGCTTTCAGCCCTTCTGTGTCTATCACCAGGATGAAATCACAGCCCAGCTCCTGCTGAAAGTTCTCTGCCACTTTAATGAGGGACATGAAGGCTCCTCGCGTACATCGGCCGCTGCTCACTGCAAACTGCAGGCCGAACATGGTGTTGAGGAGGGTGGATTTCCCAGTGCTCTGCACTCCCAGCACCGTTAGAACCAACATTCTGGACCTTCCCCCCAGCTTGGCATGGAGCTCTGTCAAAACATCTGTCACCCACTGCAGTGGGATGTTGGAGGCATCCCCATCGATCAGCTCCATAGGAAACCCTTCCAGCATCAGGTCAGCTGCTATGCCTGGGAGATGGACAAATTGTCTTTGGATGTTCCCCATGTTCCCTTCTTTCACCATTGAGCATTCGGCCTCGTAAAATTGCCCCAACTCGCGCATGAAATGCTCCACCCCTAAGGAGCTGGCAGAGATTAGTTTGTCCAATTCCACCAGCTGTTGTGCATCATCCCCTAGAGCGCGACATTTCTCTTTGTACTCAGCCCGGAGCCTAGAGAGGTTCCCCCTGGCGATGTGATCCAGGTGGAACTTCATCCATTTCAGGAAGTGATGTTTCTCGGCTGGACGCAGTTGTCCTATCCCGCTAATAAATTTAACCATCCCGCTGGTGAGGTCACACTGATTCTGCTGCCTGCGTAGCTCCAACCACCTTTCTCTCAGCTGGGATCTATAGTCTTCCGGAGAGACGTCCTGTTGGCCTTTCATCCGGCACAGCTCTTTCTCCACTTTAGCCAAGTTCTTCCACAGATCCCCCTGGAGCCTCAGCATGTCCCTCTTGTACTTTGCCACATCCTTTATTTCCGCAGTGATTTCTTCAATGTGCTCCAAGGCGGTCCAACATTCTCCATCATCTTCATCCACCTGGATCCCTAGCTCCCGCGCCGTCACAGCCATGTCACGGACCCTCACGCACTTGGGAGAGGAGCTCATGACGCCCCGGAGGGTGGATCGTAGCTTTTTCACCAGCTCCGCGCTGTTGTTGCTCTGCTCTTTCACCAGAAGTTGTGATTTTTTCATATCCAGCAGTGGGGCTAATTTATTGAGGAGTCCCACCGTTTCCTTGGCTTTCCCAGCCTGACTGTTAAGGATGAAGTAGTATTTAGTGGCTGATCCCTGCAGAGATGATAACAGGGTGTATTCTCTCTCATTGATACTCTCCGTTAATATGAACACTGCTGAGGAGATCTCTGTTAAAAAGCTAAACTGCAGCCAGTGGGACTCAATGTCTCCTCGCAGATTTGTAACTGCGATGGGCTCTGGGAAAAGATCCAAATTCTCCCTCCCACCAGGGAAATACCAGGAAATCTCGACCAGCCCATCTGCGATTTCCCGAGGGATGTTCCCAGACTCCATGTCCTGATGGATAAAGAAATCGTGGTGCTGCTGAGAGGGGCTGAGAACTTCATTGAGGAGTTTGGACTTGGAGAAGCTGCAGCTCCCCATCCGCACAAAGGAAATGGTTGGCAGTGACGTGAGCACCAGGCTCTCCTCTCTGAACCCTCTGCTGTCTGCCAGGGAGTGCGGCCTCCACTTCCTCACAATGTCCCTCATGGCCCACAGCATTAGGGTGCACTTGGAGGTGTCGAGGGCAGGTAGCAGCAGAGGGAGGGCAAACTGGCACATGGACATTTTGGACAGGATCTCCTGCTGCAGGAAACTGTCTGAGCAAAGCAGAACGGCACAGAGAACATCGAGGGGGTGCAGAGAAGCCCTAGAGTCATCTTCCCTTAGAGAGAACACATCCCCACTCACCCCACCCTCCTCATCCTCACTTGTGTCCTCATCAGATGTCCCCTGCCCAAGGCGTGTGCTTCTGGCTGTCCCGTTCAGAGCCATGAGCTTCCTCAGGAAGTGCCGAGGCAAGTCTCCCAAGACGTGAGGAGTCCAGTCCTTCAGGCTCTCCAGGCTGATTTCCAGGAGATCCCCCAGCCTCAGTTTCACATTTCTGAACTTCTTGAGCCTCAGCTTCGACAAAACAGTTTTCAGGGCTCCTCTTCTCCCTGCAAATGGAAACAAAGGCATCACCATCCGGGATGGCGTCACAGCTCAGGGCCAGCTGCACCTTGGCCTCCTCTTGATTTCTCT